CCATTATTCCGACCTCGCTCGCCCCCTCCTCGACCTCACAAAGAAAGACACCGTGTTTTCTTGGTCCACAGATTGCGAAGCTTCATTCCTGAAGCTGAAGCAATGTTTTACCACTGAACCTGTACTCCGGAATCCCGACCCCTCTCGCCAGTTTGCACTGGTCACAGACGCATCGCTATTTGCGACAGGAGCAGTCCTCCTACAAACCGACGACAATGGGTCCTACCACCCATGTGGATATCTTTCGCAGTCCCTTAATGCTGCGGAACGGAATTATCAGATCTACGACCGAGAGCTTCTTGCGGTTATCCGTGCCCTGAAGGCATGGAGACACTTCCTTGAAGGCAATCCCCATCCGGTGATCGTCTTCACTGACCACAAGAACCTCCTGTATTTCCGATCCTCGCAGACGCTGACACGCCGGCAAGCCCGCTGGCAGCTCACTCTTTGCGAGTACGATCTTCAATTCCACCATGTCCCAGGCAGCAAACTTGCTGCACCCGATGCTCTCTCCCGACGACCGGATCATGACAATTCAGATCGTGATAACGAGGACGTTGTCCTCCTCCCAGATTCGCTCTTTGTTAAACTTATTGACACTGCTCTAGCGTCAAAGTTCAAAGCAGCGAATGATAACCCTGCTGATCTCACTATAAAGACAGCAGCTGACGCCCTGAACGGTCTCTGCGCTCCCCCTATGAAGTCTGCCTTGTCAGACTGGCGCATGGACGAAGGCATCCTTTATTTCAAGGATCGAGCCTACGTTCCCCCGGACCTCCGGAAGCGTATTCTGGAGCTCCACCACGATCACCCGACTGCAGGGCACCCCGGACGTTCCAATACCGAATGGAACGTCAAGAAAAGCTATTGGTGGCCCGGCATGGGCACCTTTATCCGACAATACGTTGATGGCTGCACTATGTGCCAGCAGATGAAATCCGACACTCATCCCACCACACCTCCCCTGATGCCCATTCCCTCCACCTGTACTCGACCATTCTCCCAAGTTTCAGTCGATCTTATCACTGATCTTCCGGAGAGCGCCGGCTATGATTCCATTATGGTCGTGGTCGACCATGGGCTTATGAAGGGGGTAATTCTCTCGCCCTGCAAGAAAACCATCACTGCAGAAGGCGTTGCTGAATTATTTTACAAAAAGGTGTTTATGCGATTCGGACTATATGACAAGATCATCTCCGATCGAGGCCCACAATTTGCCTCGAAGCTAGCAAAAGAACTCGGACGGCTCTTGGACTACCAGGTAGCCCTCTCCACTGCCTATCACCCTCAGACGGATGGGCAGACAGAACGAATGAACCAGGAGCTGGAGACATACCTTCGGATCTATTGTAGGACAACTCCTAACGATTGGGCCAAACACCTTCCCATGGCCGAATTCGTCCACAATTCCAGACGACACTCCGCTCGGAACGCATCCCCATTCTACCTCATGATGGGTTATGAACCCAAAGGCATACCTTATGCCTTCCCCAACTCAGCTCTGCCAGCAGCAGAAGACCGAGTCAAGAAACTCGCGAAGATCCGTGAAGAAGCCCTCGCATGTCATAGCCTTGCGCAGCAGCGCATGGCAGAACGCACGTTCGGGCGAAAGTACCAGCCTTGGAAGGTTGGGGACAAGGTGTGGCTGTCTGCTGCGCATTTGATCACCCACTTCCCTTCAAAGAAACTCGCACCGAAACGATACGGACCCTTTACCGTTAAACAGGTCCTTTCCCCTATCACGTTCACCCTCGAACTCCCTGCCACCTGGCGCGTTCACCCCACGTTCCATGCATCAGAATTATCCTCCTATCAGGAGACGGACGTGCATGGCCCAAACTATACTGAACCGCCACCGGACCTGATCGACGGGGAAGAACATTACGAAATAGAAGCGATCCTCCAACACAGGGGTACCGGAACGAAACGCCGATACCTGGTCTCCTGGGTTGGTTATCCACCCTCAGAACGAACGTGGATTCCAGAGAAGGACTTGAAGTCCGCAGCGGAGATGCTCATGGACTATAAGAAGAGACTCAAGCTGACAACAAAGCTCCTCAGTTGTTAACCAGCTACCATCATCTCCATGTCTACCACCTCGTCCAATGCCTCCTCCCTCTCTCTCGGTTCCACACCCTCCATCGTCGAACTCATCCACGAGTTCACCGTTCCTTTTACGCAGACCCCGGACTCTCAGAAGGCATTCTGGGAGGCCATTATTCTCGACGCACAGTACGCGCTTAGACTCGACAGCTATATTGACCGTACCAAAGACACGGTTCTCCTGGAGCTTGTCAACGCGTTTCGGGCAGTTGACACTGTCGCTTTCACAACCGGACCATATGGCATCCTCCCCCATAGTCCAATCACTCGATACTCCGTCACGAAGGCCAAGAGGGCCCTCTTGAACCTTCTCGCATCCAGGAATTTCGGCGACGTAGTCGTCAAAATAGAAGAAGAAATCGCATACAACCAACCGCCTGTACAGGCAACTGTTGTCGAGCATACTGCCGAGTGCAGTGCTCCAACCCCTCCTCCTGAACGATCCAACCTCATCCCCACCAACCTCACATCCGAAGAGATCGACAAACTGTTCGCAGAACACGAAGAAGAGCAGTATCAAATGATGACCAGCGACGAGCTCGAGGAACTCCGAGCTGCCATCATCAATGACGAGGTTGTAGCCAACGACCCGTTACCTGCTCCCTATAAAGGGAAGAAGAAGCACGAAGAAGAAAAGACGAGTAAGGAAACTCGCACACCACCTTGGAGAAAGACGAACGAAGAAGACAAACCGAGCTTGGAAGCTCGTCTTACCACTCCCCCTCCAGGATTCACCTCTACCGATGACATACCGATACTATCCATCGGGTCACCCATCATCAGGGACGATACCCCCGTCCCTGTTCCTCCACCCACACGTAAAACCCGACGGAGTCGCCGATTGAATACCGAGCGCATCCTTGCACTCGGATTGCCCACCACTCGACATGTACCGGGCCAAGATCCCACCAGGCAGCAGATACTTAACGACACACACACTAGGACGACCCCACAACCCTACCAGTGCAACTTTAAGTGCAGGGTCTGCCATCAGTACGGCCACAAACAGAAACAATGCGAGCGATACTTCTGCCGCATTTGTGGACTGTTCGCCCCCGGACATCTCACTCCCTTCTGCCCCCGCCTTCACGGCAAGAAGATCCTTCGTCGAGGAATATCATCGGAAACGTTCTACACTGACATGCGTCAGTTAGAGGCAGCATATGATCACGATGCTGCAAGACTCGAACAAGATAGAGAAGAGAATGCTTTGGAAGCCATGGACATACTCCGTGACCTCGACTGCGACCCTTCCTGGTATGACAACATGGATAACTGAACTCGTTGATTTCAGTCCTAGAAACCGGGGTAATGTTACAAGAACATCTAGATGCTTGGGCCCCTACTATTTTTCTCCTGATCCTCCTCGTATCAGCCCTCGCGTCATACCCTTACCCCGACCTTACCCTCGTCATCCTCGTCATCCTCGCATTCCCTTTCGCTCTCTACCTATCGCTTCAGCAAAGCCAGTACATTTGGCCGGATCCCTTCGCTGACGAAGCATACCCTTGCTCCGTTTCACCACCTGACTGATCCTGCGGATAGTCCCCTTGCCCTTACCATCTGGATGGTAACCTATGATACGATGCATGACGCATCCCATTTCCTTTTTCTGATCTCTGACTCGATGCGCAGTCGCACATGCGACTTATACTTAGATCCGCAGTTGCACGATCGTGCCCCTGCGTGTTCCACTTCTCATTCTGATCTTTGACTCACTTTCTTATCCAGCACGTTCTACCTAGATCGAACGTGCCTTCCTATTATGGTTTTACCCTTTAACGATTGCCTCTCCCGGTAGTACGAGTTATCATCCACTAATACGTCCCCTGTCCTCTATATAAACTCGCTACCATGTACCATATTCCTTAACTTGAATCTACTTGGTTCTTGACCTCCTACTCTCACCAGAGTGATCCTTTCTGCCTCGCCAGCAGCCTATATTCTATCTTCTTATCTGCTCATCGCGGATAAGCCTATAGTCTTGATCTTTACTCATCGACTTTGTCGACGAGCAAAGCCCCTGTTAACTAGTCGGACTTCCGTCTTTCTAATTAACGACGATCCTTACGATTAACCTTCGGGTGTCGTAAGCCTAGGCCGATATAGCTTATCGTCTCGCACCCGCGTGACATAAGCTACCCGATTTGGACATAGGCGTCAAATCGTACTTGCCGAAGATACGCCAAGTACGACCCCTAACCTTGGGCTAGCCCAAGGACGTCCACAGACCGTTGACAACACAAGCTCTGTTTGAGCGTCGTCAACAGATACCATCCAAGTCGTAACACTCGTCCGATGCCACACACCTAACGAGTTTTGGTAATGTGAAACTGTGGCCAGTATACATGTACTTTGGGGACAAATTGAAGTATCGCCAGTGTAAACCATCCAGCAATCTGTGTAATCATGTAGCATATTTTCATAAGGTATGAAGGTCATTTGTTATCTCCAGTATCAAATCTGATGGATGACAGCTTCCGGATTCATTTAAAGATTTTACGGGTACTTACACCCAAGGCAAGGGAGTCAGCTGGGAATGTGCTACTCATTGCCATCATGAACTCTTCCAAGCTCAATGGAGAGTTTTACTCGATGCTGAGTTCTTACAGGCATATGAGCATGAGATTGTAATTCTCTGCTGTGATGGCATTAAACGCAGGTTCTACCTGCGAGTGTTTACCTATTCTGCAGATTATCCTGAGAAGTGAGTCGTTCATGTTACCTGCAAGATACCACAACTCATGAAAACCAGAGTTATTATTGCCACTATTTGACAATTGGGAGGTTGCCCTTGTCCACAGTGTCTCATCCCAATGGGATGACTCCATAATTTGGGAATGAGCCACGATAGGCAGCAGCACGTGACTCTTGTGCGTTCTGACGCCTCAAGGAGTCAACTGGTGAACATGGCCCGAGGCTTCATCTACGAGGAGAACTATGGCATAGACAGCACAGCAGTCAAGGACCTTCTGAAGCATGATTCATGGGTACCAACCTCTGTGAGCATGACCATTGATTTCGTTTCGTGAGTTCACTAACATCTAATTAGAACACGTTTTCGGACTGCCTTAGTTCATTTGATTTCAATATGTTCATTGTGCTCGTGGTTGATCTGCTGCATGAGTTTGAGCTTGGCATGTGGCATATGCTTTTGATTTATTTATTAAGGATTCTTTGTGCCTTCAACAAGGAGCTGATTCATGAGCTCAATAGGAGGGTGCTAAACATTTTTGATGATTACTTGGCAGCTAACAATCATCTAACTTTGACAGGTACAGACTAGTCCCCCCATTTTGATTAGCAACCATCAGACAATTCTCCACAAATACTTCCGAGATGTCAAACATGGCTGCATGAAATTTTGAGGATCTTTTACAAGTATGTATCTGGAACAATTCCTGTAGGTCTTTGTCTAATTTTGTACAAGTGTTCTATTCCTGTTTTCGATGGCCTACTCCCCAGAAATCACAACAAAATCATGATGAATCTTCTTTTCATCATGGCCCACTGGCACGGACTGGCAAAACTTCATATGCACTCTGACCTAACCCTAGATATCTTGGACCAATGAACCACTGATCTCAGCAATCATTTCTGTCAGTTTAAGGCAGCAGTGTGTGCTGCATACCACACACACAAACTTGATCACAAAGTTGATGCACAGTCTCGCCGGCAGGAAAGGGAAGCAGCCAATCGGTCAGACACAGACAAGGTGAATCAGACTGGCCAAAGGACTGCGGCTCAAAAATCTAGGATAGGTGCCAATGCAAAAGGGAAAGAAAAGGTAACTTCCGAGCAGTTTCAATTTCTACCTACACCAAGGCAGCCACAGAGGAAAAAGTCATTCAATTTGTGGACCTATAAGTTTCACGCACTTGGGGATTATGTAGCCTCTATATGTCACTTCGGAACAACTGCTTTGTATAGCACCAAACCAGTCAGTCATAGCTCACTGTTCCTAGCTCAATTATTTCCAGGGAGAATTAGAGCATCGTACCCCAAAAGGCTGGTACCGTCGTACTGATCGACAGGCCTTCATTCGCCAGTTGACACAGATCGAGCATTGCCAAATGCGTTTACACCATATCAAGCAACGGCAAAAACAGCAAGCTTCTCATGCAGAGGTGAATGAAACAACGAGCAATTCCAAACAATATCACTTCATTGGCCAAAGTGAGAAGATGTACCATGACTTTGGTCACTACCTGCACAACCATACGAAAGATCCTGCTATGAAGATGATCAATTTTTTACTTGATAGTCATCATTCTGAGATGCATGCAGGACTTTTTACCTCAGTTAGAGGACCATATTTTGGATCGCCTCGAGCCTGGGCACACAACAGCTCATCTGGACCGAGAGCACAACTCCATTCTGTTCAAGCGGAACAGGCTTTATCACCACAACATTGCAAAATTCAATTATACAACTTATGATGTTCGCAGGGCACAGGACATTGTAAATCCAAAGATGCCGCACTGCAACATTATGATACTTAAGCATCATGATGATCATGACGACAACAACAATGACAAGTATTGTTATGCCAAAGTCCTTGGTATACACCATGTCAACATTATTCATGTGGGAAACATATATGAATCCCATTGATTGGAATTCCTTTTTGTTCAATGGTACAAAACCATTCAAAGTCACTCATGGGAGACATGTACACTAGGCTGAGTTTGTTTCATGCCTCTTGCAAAGGAAAATGCCTTCAGCTTTGTAGACCCCAAAGTCATTCTCAGAGCATCTCACATTATACCTACCTTTTCTAGAGGCCAGCGTAGTCCTGACGGAAATGGTCTTTCCCCTCTTGTGAAAGATAAGGATGACTGGCACAAGTATTACATCAACAGGTCTGTGTTTACACACACTGTATATGCATTACTAACATAAACACCCAGCTTTGCTGATTGAGACACCTTGATGTGTTATCATTATGGGCTTGGAGTGGGGCATGTGTATTCTCATGAGGCGAGGACCGCAAAGGCTCAAACAGCAATTCCTGTAACAACACAAACAGAAAAAAAATGCATGGAAAGGGAAGAAAGTCTCAGGGAAATTGCTGAAGGTGAGGAGGATGAAGAGGATGAAGAGGAGTATGTTTGCATCAAGGAGTTGACTTGTTTTCAGCAAGAACAAAATGGAAGCACAGAATCGCTCGTAGGCGCGCTTGACAAGATGTTTACTAATCACGAGTATGATTATGAAAACTAATGATACACGCAGCATCTTACATTGAGCGCAAAATAACCCCTGATCAGTTACCACTGGCCCAATAGGCTTGCTCTTGCTAAGTCCTGGCATATTGCGCCAGCATCACTCCAAGTACCTTAAGCTAGCACATTTTTCTTTGGCTGACGATCTTCTCTAGATCCTGGAGCAAAATTCATTTATTTTGGCAGCACAACTCATGTATTTAAATGTGTAATTCAGTCATTGATCATTCTGGCATGGCCTTCATAATTTTCGGGGTAATTTGGTACTTGCTCGTTTCTGTCTAAGCCCCATTTTTTCTCTGGTAGCAGAATTCAGGCAACAGGGTGCAATCTCTGCAATGTAGCTTCACATAAAAGGTTTGTTCATCCAAGTCTTGTTCTTCCAAACCCTTATTACCTCATTCGATGGACACCCAAAGTGAGCTGACTTTATGTGACACAATAACATCTCACTGATAATTTGGTTGGAAATAGTGGATGTTGCCACTCTGATTTATCTGTACCTTCCTCAAGTCTGTCGAGCTCTTCGAGTCATCCAACTTCCTGTATGTCAATTCTGTATTGTGTATAAGGTGTCACACGCTAATTCATTTGCCCTAGAATGACCCAGTTTGCTACTCTCCATCAACTGCATTGTTTCCCTCTAATTTGTTGTTTTAGCACCCCTTCATTGGCTTTGACGAATCAGAAAGCTATGTTCTGATGAGGTATATGGTGCACCACTACCATACAATCTCTCCGATTTATGTGAGTGATCATCAAAATTAGTTGTGTCTCTCATCGCATTGGTCTGTAGTGCCCAGTGTATGCCTTGGGGATGCGGGTTGACATTCTAGGCATTGTTGGTGTACTTGCTATCCCCCTCATGAAAAACACAGCATTTTGGACTGTGTACAAAAAGTGGGTGAGAAATACATAATGTTGAAATTCAGAACCTGAGAATATAACCATAGTTTGGCGACAGTGATTTTCTTCAGACAATCAAGACTCAGTTTTGTCGACCAAATGTGATAGGGACCACCAGCCTCGTGTGGTTTGTGAGTGTTGCCTTCAACTTGCAGCAGTTCGTGGATTGATTTCCCCTTACTTATAGGTCAGCAACTTGGACAATTCCATCTGATTCAACCCAGCACCGTTCCCATATGGTTACCCACCTCCCGCTGTCATTGGGCCCGCACCTCTTCTCCGTTGGTATTCCACAAATCTCAAATGACCAAACAGTTTACTTCTGTACTCTTGCCTCCATCAGTCTGGTCTATTAACAATGATGATGATATTGATTACAATGAGCCTATTACTATGGCATCTGTTGGTTACTACACGGAAGACCCACTCATCTTACCACCAGGAGCCCATGACATTCCGTTTGAAAACTTCACACCCACCAGCCAGACTGTAGCATACCAAGCTCTAGTGTGGAAAGGTCTAGATATCACGCTTGACAATGATGACAGGAAGGCGATCAAATTAGTGGTCTGCCAATCTGCCTGGAAACATCCAATGTTTGTAACAAAGTGTCTTTACCTTGGTAGCTACTGGCTCGGGTGAGGAAATCCATTTGATCCTTCTGAGCAAGAAGATCGAAAATTGCTCACCAACTGCTTGTTGGAGGCAATTTCCCTTAACCACACAACACTACAAGATATGGTTGACACACCATGTGAGTATCTTTCCGCACTTATATGAGTATTTGACTAATGTTGCTATCAGTAATTGTGCAGACCAAGTCCAGACAGTTGTCCCTGGAATGGGACACCATTCATGTAACTGTATATTTTTTCCATCCCTCACCATCGCTTGCTCCTAAGGGATGTGAGCAGTTCTCCAGTTACGTCAAGAACAGACTTTCTGAGTTTCGCAAGATCGTCCAAGGTTGCATTTTGTTGGACACAGGATTCTCAGGTAGCACGGACAAAGAGTGGGATATGAGAGTCAAGGAGTTATTTGAACTCCTTGTTTTGAACAACCAAAGGATGTAAGAGACTGACCCTACATGACTTAACTTAATGATTTATTGACATTTAGGTTGAGCAAGCTATTCTTCAAATCATTAAGGAGCAGATGTTCAAGGAGCTGTTATGGGTGTCGATGCTACAAACCTTGAACAGTTTGGCTAATGGCAACCACGAAGGCAGAATCACAGACTTATTTCCCAAAGAGTTTCGGAAGGAGAACATCCTCACTAAATGTCTCATTGGAACTCTTTTAACAGTCATAAGTGTCCACTTGTTTGTTGCCTGTATCACTAACAAAAGTTGTGTTACTGTTCTAGATCTATCATACATTACATCTTTGGCGGGCGCCAAAGACTCCTGAATGAAAAATGTTCCTTATGTATTGCATCATTGTGGCTGCCCTGACAAACATGTATGACAACCCAAACCAGTTTCGCGAGTTCCAGGACATGATGAGGAACATGCTTTTTTTAAAATCAGTGTCCCTCGCATTAATTTAACATTGGGTATGATATTTTGAATGTTCAGGTTTTCGAATGTGTTACCTATGGACCCGAAGGCCTTGTCCCCTAGAACATCCACGAACAACAAGCGAATCAGAACTTTGAAGGATGTTAAGCCCATCATACAGGTGGATAAAGGTCTCCCTGGTCTTCCCTATGCGAGCTTCACATCCTTTCATTCGGAAAGAGTCGGAAAGTCAGTGGATGATTCATGCTTTGATAAAGATAAGCTTTGATGGAAATTATTGGTCTGGGACTCAGTTTTTACTAGTATGTATTATATGAGACATGGTGTGTGTATCAGCGAATACTGTAACCATCATTGACATGCTTTTGGAGATACAATAGCGACAAGCATGATCCATACTACTGAGAGCCAATAGTGGATACAGAAGTAGAGTCAAATGATGCACTCGACTGTTGAATCTAACTCAATCATCTCAAGGCTATTCAGCATCACATGCTATCGAAATTCATAGGTGTGTGTTTATGATTGTTTGTAGTTTTGGCCAGACTGTCATTGCCGATCATATATGACTAATCTGATCATTACATTAATTTGCCCCTTTCCATCAATTGTGCGCCACTGCCATCCAATATCCTGCCGCACTCTCAATCCTCCAAACAATTCAATGTCTCGTGTACCGCACACAGCCTCTATGGGACAGCTGCCAGTCAAAGGCAGAAAGGTGTTGGTGAGTATCATACACTCGACGAAATGTAGCTAACAAATTCATTAGATGCAGGTGGACTTCTGGTTGGATTTGGTAAGCCCACTGAGTTAATGTTGCCAGCAGCTTAAGTATTTCTCCAGCGACCCAACCATTTGGCCGTCACTATGCCAGCAACACAACAATGTCTGACGATGATCAAGGCCAAACTCGTCGACGTCAGAAACAAGGCCACAAACGCAGTGAAATCTGCACTTCGGGTAAGTGTTTCATTTTCGAATCAGGATTGATCTCTCAAGAGCATGCTAGATCTAGTTTGAATTGGACTGTAACCATCATGTACATTATAATTTACATCTCTCTCATCACGTAGTGTAGCGTGTTATGAGTCGTTATGTTTGACCCGCTGGGGCAACGACCGACACATTGCTAGAACTACCATCACTGTGTTATACCATCGGATACATGTACTTTTCGGCTCATATCTTAGGGATAGCCTCCAAAATAATTACCATCATGCATTGTCAAGCAGTATCCATATCACATCGACTACATACAAGCAAGTCTACTACAGTAATAGACCATAGGACTTGTTGCGCCATGCCATTTTCACTATGCTAAATATATCTACAATCTCAGGGTTGTTCCTAGCAGGCCCATTTAATCAATTATCAAGATAATCAACCAATCATCGTGTGAACTACCCACTCACCAGTGCTACCACATTGACATGTTGAGCCTTGACCACGAAGGTACGTTTGGTTATGAATCTCATTGAAGCTTTAGCCATTCACTCAGCTTGGAATCCCCAGATAAAAACTGCAGCAATAGACTCACAGGAGCTGCTCACGTGCAGTGTACCTATCTGGCCAATGCAGCTCCAGCGGTACACCGAAATAGCACTACTGTGAGTGCATATTTCTACTAAGACGAATGATGAGTACTGACTTGATTTAGTAGGGAAGCTCTACATCATGACTATACCATTGGAATGATGCAGGTTGACATGCATAGATCTGTGACCTTTGTGTGTGGCGACATCGATTGACCACGTCATCGATAGGTGCGAAATGTGTCAAGATTGGACCGAGATAGTCCATCCATCAGGAGCTGTATATAGTCATAATCCAAGACGGGTGAGTAGTTCCTAAAATTTCAAGTTACATATACTAACTCCATAGGAATGAAGAAAACATACACCGAAATGAACATAAGGACCTGTTCAGATGAACAGCTCATGAGGCTCGAAGCTTGGATCAACGCATCAAGAAAAAAGCTAGACAATGAAGAGTGGCTCCTAGTTGTCGAGCCGATGTTAGTGAGAGGTAATGAAATCTTTCCGTACTACTAAGTGGTCCTGGAGAAGTGCATCATTACCTGGTTGGAACTGGTAGATGGATACCTTCTTTTTCAAGAATGTAAGATGGCATGGCATTGGAATCACAAAAGTAAGTTCCTTTCTTCAAGGTTTTGATTTCAACTTAGTCGCACAGGACTTGAATTAGAGGCCCGATATTGGTGAGCGATTGACAAGCCTGATGGAGAACATACCTCATTTTTTTATAGGCAACATGTTGAGTATTTTCCACGAGGAGTTGAAATGCGCATCGTGGATGTAAAAGCTTTGCGGATTGAATTGAACTGGTACTGCATAGGCAAGTTCTTTAGAATCACAGCGCCCGACCAGACTAAGCTGATAGGCTGAATGAAAAACAGAAGTGTTGACTATGGAACAGTCAATGGCGGCTTCGCTGTTCTGGACTCTGAACCAGATGAAAGAAGTGGCCGCTGAGCTGGCCATTACTGGTGCGCGTCCTCATCTTAACCTGCATTTTCAATCCAATAACCAAACCAGAGGAACTTGCAAGGCCTTGTGAGATAATCAAGGAATCAGCTATCGCAATCTGCGGTGCATGAACTGTGAAAAACTGCTAAACATGAACTTATCTTCAACAATAAACAGGCAGATTATTGCATATACTCCATGCATCGTTGATATCTTTATATTGGATGCTATTGATTGAATAGTTCAAAAGGCCATCACAAATACCTCAACCGCCACAGTCAACCTGAAGCTCGTCTGATGCGAATGCACTCACTTGCAGAAAGGAATAAAGACCAGCAACATAGTCAATTTTTGACTGGTGCTGGAATAATTATGTTTTGGATCCCAATGGTGGTCCTCAAATGCCTCAAGGACATTTACATTGATGGTATCATGAATGGTGTTGACGTCAGGGAGTTTATAGATGAATTCGCTGCCCAGGCTAAATCTCAAGCTACAGTAGTAAGCACTATATTGTAAATCCAAAAAGGAACACTTATGACTTTATCTGTCATGACAGGCAAGTGTCATCATGGCAGTGGACACCAGCATCCTTGCCATCCCAGAATTAGGTGCACAACTCGCAACAAAGATGTTGTGTTCCATCTCCTTCATTCTTAGCATTTACTGCATCATTGTGTGCGCGGTGGCACAACACTTTGGCCACAGATTAAGATCACTTGACTTTGCAGTTTGCTTATCTTTTTTTCAACCTGGACCTGACATTCTCAAGTTGATAGATGTACTACCTACAAGGGAAGATGGCCAGTTTTGCAATACTGGCGAGTGTACCAAGCTTTTTGCTTATGACAAGGTAAGCAAAGTTTTATTGCAATCAAGTACCACTCACATGACCCTTGCAGTTTGGCATTTTCAATCCTCGGGTTTGTCGCAGGTGTCTTCATGGCTGACTTCACGCTATTCTTAGCCACAAGGATTGGATGCGGACTGGCCCTCATTGTTGGGGCAGGACTTGTAACTCCATTGATGATCACCAGCTTTGGTCCTGGACTGATTCGATGATGTCAAGGAGAAATGAACCAATAAATGGAGCAGATGAATAACTCGATAACTTGTCACTAATCATATTGCTTCAATCCCTGCCCATACTTATGTCAGCCACTTGCTTTCAAGTTCCTTTGCACTGTGTATTTCACGATGCCAACACCTCTTTGACTAGATTAATTTATTACATTCACCACCCCGGGCCAAGACCCAAGAAACAAAAGGCTAAGCGTATTGAACATGTCACATTTGTTGTTCTAAATCAAACTAACCAGAGTGTGTTTGCAGAGAAAAATCAGACTTGATTTCATTCCATATGATGACCATAGCTCAGCAGCTATCCAACGGATAGTGCTACATTGCCATACCTCCGCACTATGCTGCATGGTCTAAGACATTCCGCTGTGCAGCCTCCATGATCTGTTGATGGACAATGTTTCTCTCATCATATAGCATCGGCAGCAGTGCTACGGCTGCGGCCATTACCAAGGATGATCTGGTTGTGATGGAATGGGTGGATGGTGCCTTATTGGAAAATAGAGGCTATTTCACATCTTTTCGTAAGTTTGTATACCAACCTGTGAGCAATAATCACTTACCTTCAAGTTGGACACTTTCTTCTTTCCTTTCTGCAATGGCAGCACTGACGAATAATGAATAAATGGGTCATCGTATTTCTCACCGGCTTATTTTAGTAGGCATTTTCTATTACATGCACCTTTAGGAGTATGTGCGGAGCTTCAAAGTCTGTATTGCACCTCTTTTGGTATGTGCAGAGTCTTGACTCGCACATGTTCTTTAGACATTTGCTAGTATATCGCTGAACGTGCGCATGAATGGTTGAACCAACCCCATACGGTATGACTTGGATAGTACCGTCACTTTTGCTATGGCAGTGTGTTACCGGCAGCACAGACATAAAACCTTGGTCTCACTGGTCACCTACTAAGCTGTCTGACTGCCTCCAAACAGTAACCCGTGACTGTCCAGTATACTGCCACTACCCAGAAGATCAACACAACAACTCTTAATGTCACTGACATGTGACACTTCACAGAAGTAAGTACTTTGTGCTATTTTTGATTTCTAAAGCGATACAATGTTCTAGATATACTATCTGAGTCAGATTCTCATGGTTGAAGGAGGGGCTATGTCTCAGTGAGGTTTATAATTCCTACTTGTCCTTTCCGAGAATTTCATGCAATCATACTAGGGTTTCGTGAGGACATTGAAGGGACTCTGACGCCAACAGACCCTGCTGCCACTGCCATATGTGTGATATCATTTATTGGTCGATAAGTACCCTTCCATGTAGACTAAAAGGTGTTTTATCAGCTCAGGAGGTTTCTTCCCAAAATTGTTCATCTTTACCACTACTTGGATTGCTATTACTTGTAGATGCACTGGTTATAGATAAATTCTTTTTTGAAACTCATGCATTCTGATCAACCTCTGAGGCTAGTTCACTACTACTGTCTTTGAGGACAAAGCACAAATTGAATCACAACTGAGATGAACTACTCGATACTTGGTTTGAGTTGGTCAATCTGATTTTCACTTACTAAGGTGAGGTAACTTCAATGTAATACTACTAGTACTGGTCGTCTAAGTAACATTACTCTCAAACAACAGTTTTTCATGTTCATCGAAAGCTTGAGGGTGTCCAACAATCACTAAAGTGCAATGCACTTCTTGGTCCGACTTGAAACCCTTTGGATTAGCCTCTTCCTGTTTCTTCTACTAATGGTGTCCTGTGGCACTCCAGGTTGCTCTTGGAAGAGGGCAACAGATAATCAAGGACTCACTAGACATTGTGGAAGTTGACATTTCTATAAAAGGGTGAGCAGTCTTGCGAGTCAGAGGAGAAAGGAGCACGCAAAAGAGGTAGCTGGTCTAAATTTACTTCCAAAGCTCTCTGTCACGGTAAGTACCCTCACTGTGTCTGCTGCCTATCAAACCTCCACTTGCTACGGTAAACTTCAGACTTGAATCCCAGCTATCCACCATGTGAGGGACCATCCAAATATAAAACCACTTCTGCCTCCTGGACTCCTTAGATCAAGTTCTACAGTGTAAGGGTTACACTGTGCTGACATTCCAGCAGAACGGCAGCACCCTGTTGACTCAGAAAAACAGCAACATAATGATACTGATGTCAAGATGATGAGTAATTCTGGAAATGAGTTGGATTTTCATTCAGGTCAGTCACAGCTTCCCCTCAGTAGCAGCTGTCTTTTGATTTATCAGTTACTCAAATATCATAGAAGAAATCGTGCCCCCAATAAGACAATTTCCAATATCTTTCAATGAAATCGATCATTCATCTGAGGATTTCAACCATTTAGATAATACAGATATCCCGCCAGCTCAAAGTTCAACATTGTTACCAGCCCGATCCCAAATTAAACATGTTCTACTAACTCTAAGGGACACGCTCCAGACTACCTTCAACTTGTTTGGGCTTTGCCGATTATATCCCAGGCATCCTTCATTTGAGCCGGATAAAGTTTTTTTGTCCATGTTATTTACAAGGACCTCTCCCACAGTCCATGGAGCAGAGCCTTCACTGAGCATTTCTGTGCCACCTTACCCCTTTCCCAACATGACTACCTACTGGCTTATGTCCTGGATGAATTCCGGTGGCAGCCTGGTATCTGAAAGCAAAGTTTCGCACCTGGTCAAGGATGTGATGCTAGCAGAGGATTTTGACCCCAAACACCTCAAAAACTTCTCAGTGAGGCGACGTGCTCACAGGCCATTACAAATCTGGACAATCTCCAAAGCGCCGTTTGAGTTCCAATGCACGAATCCTTCAGTGTGATGTGGATAGGCTGAATATACACAGTAGAGCACAGATATTGTGGTTGCTGTGTTTTTGGAGATTCAGGCTCAAAGGACGCTAAGAATTTGAACATTCACCTTAGCAATATCTAAGCAGTGACACACAGATCCTTCAGTTGGATGTGGATAGGCTGAATATACACGATAGAGCACAAATATCGCAGTAGCTGCATTCTTTCAGAATCTGTTACGACTTGGATGGTATCTGTTGGCGACGCTCAAACAGAGCGTGTGTCGTCAACAGTCGAGGATGTCCTTGGGCTAGCCCAAGGTTAGGGGTCTTACTTGGCGAGGCTTCAGCAAGTAAGATTTAACGCCTATGTCCAAATCGGGTAGCTTATGTCAAGCGGTTGCGAGACGATAAGCTATATTGGCCAAAGCTTACGACACCCGAAGGTTAATCGTAAGATCGTCGTTAATTAGAAGGACAGAAGTCCGACTAGTTAACAGGGGCTTTGCTCGTCGACGAAGTCGATGAGTAAAGCTCGAGACTATAGGTTTATCCGTGAAGAGCAGATAAGAAGATAGAATATAGACTGCTGGCGAGGCAGAAAGGATCACTCTGGTGAGAGTAGGAGGTCAAGAACCAAGTAGATTCAAGTTAGGGAATACAGTACATGGTAGCGAGTTTATATAGAGGACAGGAGACGTATTAGTGGGTGATAACTCGTACTACCAAGAGAGGCAATCGGTAAAGGATATAACCATAAATGGAAGGCACGTTCGCGTTGAGACACGGGCGAGGCAGAACGTGCTGGATAAGAAAGTGAGTCAAAGATCGAAATAAGAAGTGAAACACGCAGGGGCACGATCGTGCAGCTGCGGAGCTAAGTATAAGTTGCATGTGCGACTGCACACTGAGTCAGAGATCAAGAAAGGGAAAAGGGCAAAGGGGATGCGTCGTGCATCATATCATAGGTTACCGTCCAGACGGTGAGGGCAAGGGGACTGTCCACAGGATCAGTCAGGTGGTGGGACGGAGCATGGGTATGCTTCGTCAGCGAAAGGATCCGGCCAGATGTACTGGCTCTGCTGAAGCGACAGGTAGAGGGCGAAAGGGAATGCGAGGATGACGAGGATAACAAGGGTGAGGTCGGGGTAAGGGTATGATGTGAGGGCTGATACCAGAAGGATGAGGAGAAAAATGGTAGGGGCCCAAGCATCTAGATGTTCTTGTAACAGAATCGTGCTCACAGGCCATTACAAATCTGGACAATCTCCAGAGCACCATTTGAGTTCCAATGCATGGATCCTTCAGTGTAATGTGGATAGGCTGAATATACACAATAGAGCGCAGATATTGCAGTTGCTGTGTTTTTTGAGATTCAGGCTCAAAGGACGCTAAGAATTTGAACATTCACCTTAGCACTATCTAAGCAGTGGTGTGCAAATCCTTTGGTGTGATTTTGGAAAGTCGAGGCAAGACATAGGCTGTTTGTCGCTCGCTTGGTGAACACACTGACCATCTGCCAAAATTGGACGTAGTCGAAGTCGCCATTGATGGACCACCATGAGGTCACAGAGAAAAGTGCAAACCTTACCTGTAGTTCCAGTTAATATCTACTATCAACCTCATTGAACACTTGGCAGACAATGTATGTGATCGAGTGGGGAGTCACCTTTTCCATGTGAATGATTTGTGCTACATGCTTTTTGACCTTAAGCCTGCAAGAAGACTTTTGGGCGCGTCTGTTGTTCTGGATGATATCAGTACCATCACCATCACCATCAATATCTTTGGCCGAGGAGGGTGATGTGAAAACCACTTTGTAGCTCTAGAAAAAGGTGTGGAATTACTGGCAGGCTAATCATGTGTCACAAACCTGTACAAGAATTTTGCCTTTGAAAAGGCCTTCCTCCAGGTCATCTGGATTGGCAGTGTACTTCTTGTACAAGAAGGCCAGAAATGAGAGATCTGTTATGATGTAGCCATCTGAACAATTGCAAATCCCTGCCCTTACCCCGGTGAAAGACAATACACGTACTAAATACCATTTCTGGGGGATTCAGAGAGGTACACCTATGCTAAATTGCTCCAATCAAGGTCGGCCGGGCAGAGCAGCCTGCTGCACGCATTGTTGGTGAACCCACAGGAATTTTTATTGTCTGGATCGACAGGCGGATCTGGCTTGAACCAACAGTTTACCCATTCAGAAATGAGAGTCTTGAGTTTCAAGGTATCATCCCCTTGAGCGCCATTGGCCCCCTGCTGAAACTATAAAAAAAGCTCAATTGAAAAAAAGCCAACATACAACATGGGAAAGGCAAACTGATTTTAACATGTGAAGATAGTTGTCATACTCCAATTCCAAAGCCTTTTTGAAAAACCAATGCAAGGAATTTGTGAAGGTGATGTATCTGATCTGCAACCAATTTTGGCTACGTGAAAACAGCCCATGAATAGCATTGATGAAGGTGGGGCGAAAGACTTACTCAGAGGTATTTTCATCGTCATCACCAGTGTCACACCTTCTATCATTCTTGCAGACAAGGTCTTCAATATTGTCGAACAGAGTAACGACCTGTCTGATTGCTCGTTCTTGAGCAATGTAGTAGTTCATATGCCTCTTAGACTAAGCAAAACTAACTCGATGCATAAAATATTGCTTTTACCTTTCTTTGACTGCACACCCAGACTCAAGGACCTGCAGCTTCTCCTCCAATTGCGCAATTCTTCATCTCTGCCAGGCCTGTAGAGACACTTCCACTGCGTTTGCATTTGAATTTTCCTGCTGAAGGCCGACCTCATGTTGCTGGTCCTCCAATTTGGTGCCCAATGCACTGCAGCCTTCATCCCACAGCTCATTGATTGTTACAAGAGCATCTAGACGCTTGGGCCCCTACCATTTTCCTCCTTATCCTCCTCGTCTCCACCCTTGCATCACACCCTTACCCCGACCTTGCTCTTGTTATCCTCGTCATCCTCGCATTCCCCTTTGCCCTCTACTTGTCACTCCAGCAGAGCCAGTACATTTGGCCGGACCCTTTCTCTGATGAAGCATACCCATGCTCCATTCCACCCATTGACTGATGCTGTGGACAGTCCCCTTTACCCTTACCGTCCGGACGGTAACCTATGATATGATGCACGCTGCATCCCCTTTACCCTGTTTCCTTTCTTGATCTATGACTCGGTGCGCAGTCGCACATTTGTACTTATATTTAGCTCCGCAGTTGCACAATCATGCCCCTGCACGTTTCACTTCCTGTTTCTTGACGACACACGCTCTGTTTGAGCGTCGCCAACAGATACTATCCAAGTTGTAACATTGATGTTTAACGTGTTGGCATGCAACATGGAAACAGCCTGAGGAATGCCATGTCAATATGATAGTGAAGCAGTGAGGAGATAAGGGAAAGGTGCGAGATGAGGGATAGAGTTGACCAGCCTGCATCTTATATGCTGGACAGGACCTATGTCAGTTGCCTATAAAGAGTATCCCTACATCAGATAGATATATAGACCATGAGGGGAAGTGTTGCTTGGGCAGATACCATATACAGGAAGGTGTCAATACTTTACTACAAGATCATTGGACTCGGAGGCAGCTATTCAGGTCACCCCATCAAGTGTTAACTTTGAATATCTCCAGGTGGCGCCACATCGGGGACTGGCTGGGACACATAGCCTTAAATCCATGTAGAAATTTTGAAGTTGGTGTCAGGCTCAGGCTAAGGAAGTAGAAAGGCAAGGAAGTTTCCACAATGGCATCCAGGCCTTAGCAGATAGATTTCTATAATGGGGAGTGCTTGCCAAAACCTAATTGAACGAAGTTATGGCATATGGAACAAGGTATATTACATGCGAGGCGTGCTTACTAGTATGACCAGCCAAACAACCGGAGGTCACATCGACATAGTGGTAGTGGGAAAGAGCCTGAGCACTATAATCACTTTATGTCCAGCAAGTTGCCTCTACCTCCGCAGAATTAATCTCCTTCACAGTTTTGAACAGAACTTCATATCAGAAACTTGCAGATGAATATGCTCTGCAGCGCCGGTCGAAAATACCTTTGAGCATCATAGGCACTCTTGGCAACAAACTCCACAGAACCTTCTCTATGTGAAGACTGAATATGAGTGACATGAGGATAAAAAACAGACATACATTAATCCGATATTGTACTTCTATTCTCCCACCACTGGCCCTCGCCAGGGATGACCACCACCACCGTCTGCTCTCCTCATGACTCCTTCCATACTTTTGAAACTGTGGGAAGGCCTGCATGGAGCAGGATCAATACTGTGAATATCAACTTCTGTATCTTCCTCATAAGCATGTATGCATCTCCATTTTAGGGTTCTTCCAAGAAATGGAGCAAGGGCAGGGGAGTCCGCATGTAAGTGTGTAAAAGCAGGGTGCTGGGTACGGCTGCTGCGTCAGCAGCTCCCTACCCTTCTTTTGAAACAAGAGACAACCAGAACAGTACAAGCTGTGATGCACACATTGTGGCTGGCCCACTCAATACCATGAGCGAGCTGCACGTGATTCCAGAGCCCTTGAACTGCGTGCAGATACAAGTAGAGCATGTAATGATAGCAATCTGCTTATCAGTGGCTGTCTGTGAAGGGGGCAGGCAAATACTCACTTGTTCCGTGCTCGTGACAGAGGCCACCTGGCAGCTCTTCCAGCAAGACGCGGGGGAGGGGCTCTACAAAGTTGAGGTGAAAGGACTCATAGAGGGCAATAAAATAAACCGGCTGGAACTTGAACATCTAGCAGTGGAGGGCATAAAGAATGTGATTGTCTATGCAGAGCTTGGATGCGAGGTACTACTTACCACATCTTTCATTTGTTGGCCTAGCACCAAAACCTTCCACAAGCCAGGAGGCCCAGCCTGAGAAACTGCCAGAACCTTGAGTCTAATTGAATATTTTTCTGCCAGTGACGGTGTTCAAATTGAAGTTCCCAGTCATCAAGTTGAATGGGACGCATCTGATTGAGTGTTCAGGTTGACTTGAAGCAGCACGAGAAACCAGCGGGAGTCATGGGAGTCGACAGGTTAGCGATGATGCCTGAGTCATTCAGAGAAGGATCTGGAAGCAGTGGTAGTACTAGCAGTACTAGTCACGGTAAGTTTCAAAACCAAGCCACTTTGAAGCAATACCGGTGACTTGAAACCCTGTGATTGGATAGTACTGTCTTACTTGATCATAATAGTAGTAGTATATGATAGTTTGTGACTCAGACGTACTTCAAGTTAAGTCATACAATGACTCGTTGAGTAGTTACCATAGGTCACAATCTAGTCTTGCTAGGGGTGACAATCTAAGAGATTTAGAATAATAGATCATACACCTCATCATCATTGTGTCCGTCCTCATCTCTGTTTTCATCCCCACCTCCCTCGCTCAGTTCATCATTGCTGGAGTCATTGTTGAACTCCTTGCAGTCTTTGCAATCCTCCCTTTCATCATCATTGCCTTCAAGATCCAAAGCCTCACCATTGCTATTGCCGACCTCTCCCATACCATCCTGGTCACCAGGGTTTACAATATCCATGGTGTCAGTGCGCGCCGGTAACACAGAGCCCAGGCAGTCTTTACTAATTCTCCGCAAGATTGCTGCACGTCCAATGCCTAGGTGAGTGTACCGCATGAACATGTCCTGATCTGCAAATCTGGCTCAAAGGTAAGGGCTGCTGAACTGCGGAAAGAAAATGTTTGCACTTACATTCCGACATAGTGCTCCTCCCAGTCATTCACCTGCCCATCAGGGCATGCCAATGATTTCCCATGGCGAAGTGAGCTCACACCGTGTCCTGAGGCAAATGCATGAATTAAGTGTACTCCTCAAATGACCTATGCTGGGTTGAGGAACACGAATGCATCTGGGTCTATCTCTTCTACAAAAGCAACTTTTGGAAGGCAAGCATTTTTTATGCAAGATTTACTGTCCTGAAACACTGCAAGCCATCTGACCCAGAGAACCTCAAGGTGCTGCTTGACAGGTTGAGCCCCACCCTGGAGCCATACTTCCATATGGTAGATACCTATGACCCAATCATACCAATAGGGGTGGCTAGGAGCAGTCTCTCCTAAAAGCACCATGGCATCACCATGACTTCTAGGATTGACGGTGTCATATTTGTGCCAAAGATTGTAGGTAGTATAGTGCACCTGCATAGTCTGGACTGAATAGATCCTATTGTTGGAAATAATAACTAAATTGTGTTCCTCATCGGTCAAGGTGTGATCGCAGTAAGTAACATCTAACCTTCAAAGCCTAAAAAGTATGTGGTCCCTCAGCTTTAGGATGAAGTTCTGACAAGTGCAGTGAGTAAGGTACAAGGCAAGAGTAAAATGCATTATACCTTGACAGCTGAATCACCATTATTTTTGTGGAGAAATGAAAATAGATCGACAGGACTGTTTTGAGCGGTTGAGATCCAGTGGTGCTGTCCAGAGGGCATCAAAGGGGGTACTTCAACTTGTGGTTGACTGTAGGAGGAGGAGGGTATGCCCCCTGCTTCTGCCACCTGCCATAGTGCAGTGTCTGCGCTCGTGCTTAGCAAGCTGTGCTGGAGTATCTAATTTGTTAGTTAGCAGATAGAACACCTTCAAGGCTCTGTGGGCAAGCTCTCCCTGGCCAAATTTAGCTTTGAGTACACAGTAGAGTCACAAACTGTACCCACCATTTGAGTGGTGAATGAATCAGTAGTCCCGAAGAACTTTATGGTCCTCGGATAACTGCCTATGGCATGGAATTTATAGGTGCCCAGGTTGAACTTCTTAACCCTCGGTCCACCAAATTCCTGAGAGGTATTACCACTTTCAGACTGTTTAGTAGCCCTTCGTTGGCGAGCCGCTTTCTCCTGGGGCAACTCCACAGTGTTGAAAGCTGCACACGTGCAGTCTCGAAACCTCTGTAACATTTGAGATAGTTTGTTGATGTGCAGTATCTTGCTGTGGCTTGTGATGACAATGCTAAGGCCCTTCATATGGCTGACACGGAGCTTGATATCTTGAAGGGCAAAATGGAGAATAATGATAGAAAATCTGATGCTTCCCAGGCCCGAGTTGTTGATACATAGTACGTATCTTCTATTAAGTAACACTTATCTCCATACTGAAATGCTTCTTAGAAGAGAACAGAATATCAGGCTCGTGCTTGCAAAAATTTGAATAGCCCCATGCCTCGTTGCTCTTGTTGTAAATTACTGTTATTGTCTTGTAAATTGATTGTTTCTTATCGCAGAAATCTCAACTTGTGTTCAATGACTTAATCAGACTAACTGTGACCATCTGTCTAGTCACCCACAATGCAGCCTGCGCTAACGATGGTGAAGTGCCTTTTGACAATGATGTTTTGGAGGACCTCTGCTCTAACAACTTCCCCAATCCGTTCTATGATGAAGACACTCATGGCGGTCATTATCTCGACCCTTATGTCAACCCCTACTACCTCCTAGACCACGATCCTGACCCACCCCAGCTTGACACCCACCATGACAATCTCCCTCATGAAGCTTGTGGACCAAGTCCCTACCCCCCTATGTCATCATTGTATCATGACATAAATCATCCTGAGACTCGGATACAACGAGACTTTCATGATCCAGTACTACCAGATACAATACTTTTGGACTTCACGATAATAGGTCAGAAACTTTATAACAAGTGTCGGATTGCGAGCGGTATATGTGAGTATAACGAGTGACAGAGTATGATGGTGAACGAATGGTAATATTTCACAATGCAACTAAGAACTACGAGAATATTCTGGGTGATCTGCAGAGTCGGGAAACGGCTCCTAACTACTGGATGATAATTGCTATGGGTCACTACAGAGTATTTAAGTAAGTACGTAGAAATCTGGAATACTACAGGCAAAGATAGTAGCAATATATTTCGGGTCCGATGTCCTATGTAATAAGACACGAGGTGCTGCGGACATGTAATAATGCAGTCCGAATGTCAGAAAATGTGCACAGAAATATCTATGCACCTAGTGAGGCTAGTTCAGATGGACAGGACACGGGATGGACAAGTGCACACGAAGTGTGATCAGCCGATGTGATGTCCAAAAGTCCAATGCGGAGAGGCTCAGACATGTGCAAAAGTGCATTGGACATGTGCACATATGTTTCAGGTGTTGATGTGAGTATGAAAAACCGGGGTTCTGAGCCCAGTGCCACTACCATTGTTACAGTGTGATGGCCACTACTATTACGCCAAGGTCCTCAGTATACACCACGTCAATGTTGTTCGTACCAGGGATGTGTACAAATCTCGTTGAACAGAGTTCCTTTTCGTGCGGTGGTATGAGTCCGTACAAGACCATGCATGGGAAATGCATACTTTGTGCCATATTTGTTTCCTGCCTCTAGTGAATTCAGACGTGTTTGGCTCCGTAGACCCGGGTGCTGTACTGAAGGCATGTCACATCATTCCAGCTTTCTCTCAGGGCCAGTGTAACTCGAATGATGGAATTTCTCTCATAGCAGGAGATAAACACGATTGGCAAGAGTACTACATTAATAGGTGAGTCATTCTTGCCCACCGCCTTGCCCACCACACATTCTTAGCTATTCGCTTGCGACCATATTTGTTTTCCGGCCATTGGTAATCAATGGTCAGTCTTTATAATCCATGATTGGCCTTCGTTTGTTGCCACTTCACTTTCATACTACCCTAATTATGGACAGTGTTCCTTCAATGTCCAATGTGTGGCTATACATGCCACAATGTGCATCTGTCCTTCGCCTCATACAACTCGCTGTAAGTAGGCTATATACTATAAAGCATACACTGAATCTTTCCCTCTAGAGCGAACCGGTTTGTCATTGTCCATCAGCTGTTCTTTCCTTTTAACCTGCACAATTTTAGCATCTGTTTGTCACATTTACAGGGGCAGAATTTATTCTCATTGGATACTTGGCCGACTACAACCACATCTACCCCATCTATGTGAGTTTTTCTCTTCGAATCAAATGACTATCTCATTGTGTTGGTTCATTCGTAGTGTGACAAAGTATTCGAGAATGGTCAGCCTTAAATTCATATACTACACCAGGTTGGAATGCTAGTTGTCCCTGGCAAGGGGGATATCAGCTATATCCACAATTTATTTGCAACACCGGTGAGAGCTTTGCAACTCCAGACAACCCACTTATGCAAGTGCAAAATTAGTTGGAGAGTGGTGCCTATGTTCGCTCGATCAGTTCTATCTGTTGCAGACCGAGTGCCAAGGGTATAGCTCTTCCTTTGTGGTTAATGAGTTTTGTTACTTAGTAGTAGTCATACATGTTTTCATCATGTCGCATTGATAGCTTTCAGATTTCAACGGATCAGTACAATTCCATCATGCTCCATTTCCATTGAGATACCCACCTCCTGAGTATCTCATCATTGCTAATTCGTGTGTTATGGAGACACCCACCTTTACCACATCTACACAATTTTTATCAGGACATCCACCCCTCGAGCACTTTGGTCTTGCTAATCCAGTCTTCCAACATGCCACTGAGATGCCTGCCATTGGCACGTCTGCGCCACTGTTGGATTACGTTGATCTTGCATACAGTGACTTCAACTTCTACGAGCAATCCACCGGATGTTCTGTAAGCGCCTTTGACAATTGCCTCATTCCAGAGGAAACAATTGAAACATAACATGGTGAGAAGCAAAAACTCATGCATCCTAGCCTGGAGTGGAGAGACTCCACCCATACCAGTATGGACAAGAACAAATGTGTACAAGTATATCGTTACATGAAGAGGATGCCCTGGAATCAAATCATCACGCTAACAAGGTGCCTGTTCATTGGCAGTTTGTGGACAGGAACTTCCGGAAACCCATTTGGGATTTCTGTGACAAACACACAACGTCTGATAACGAGTTGTTTTCTCACCAGTTTAGACATGACTCATAATACCTACAAGGACATGGAATCCCACCCAGGTCGGTGTCTTACATTTTGGGTGTTTCATTACAAGTCCTTATCTTATGATTTTGATCAGTGATTGCTAAGATTTCAGAGACTGAAGCTGGTCTTCCAGATGGGATGTGCTTCGCTTAAGTGTATGTTTTCTCTTCTCCTTGCTTTCGCTTCCTCCTAGAAACTAATTTTGAGCAGCTGGTTAAGTCGTTCTCCAGTGTCAAATCAGACCTAGGAAAAGTCCTCAAAGGTGCAATGTCAGCACACCCCGACTTTGCCACCAAGACAAAGCAGAAGGCTATCTCCTTCATTCTGATTTTTAACTTGGGCAATCCCTCTCAGGTAAGAGACTGGAAACTAACTAGCATAATTTGACCTCAAATGTTTTTGTTTTCAAGATCAAGCAAGCAATTACCGACCTCTGTGGGGGTCCATTATGTACCTTGTCAATGGGTTATTGGATGGAAAATCCATTGGTAGGATTGGCGACCTTTATCCAGAAGAGGTTTTGTCAAGGTTCAATTGGTTAGCCCAATGCCTGGTTGGAAATTTAATGACATTCACAAGTCTTTCTTTCCTTTACCCTTTTGTATTGAAATAACGAAAATTGTGTGGATTTGTCAGATTTACCATACTTTAATTATCATTACGAAGGATGAGATGAAGAAGAGGAAGAAGAACATGACCACGAGTGAGGCCAAGGCCGAGATGAACACTGATGTCGACATCAGCACTAATATCCTGGAACCAGCACCAATGAATGCCATTATCATGGTGGCTCTGGACCATATGTATGACCAACCACACATGTTTCCAGAGTTCTCAGAGGCTATGAGGAGCCTCCCCTTCATAACATAAATTTTATTTGTGCACTGTTTTACCTAGCTCATCATGGTCTATGTTTAGGAGAAATAATGTTCTGCAGATTGCTGCAAAGTCACAACATGCGAAAAGCACTATCTCTGACACCACTGGTGATAGGCGAATGGTCCTGGAAGACATTCAGCCTATCATTATTCGTCCAATTCCCTCTGGTCAATTTGACATGCTTCCCAATAGTGACAGCTTCAGTTCCCCAAAGTCTCTGAGAGCTGTATGGGACTTGCTCATCTCATCATTCACATGCAAGTAGATAGGATGTGTGGTGCCACTTTCAATTTGTATGCCGTCTTGTACTGAACTTATGTATAACATGTCTTAATAAAGCTGATATATTTGAACTTTGAAGTTGTCCTGTATGGCCAGAAAAGCTGCAATTCCATGTGTTTTGGCTCATCTTCTGCAAATAAATCTAAATGTTTATTGGCTGACTAATGAAGAGCACACATCACACAGAGCTCAAAAAGGCATCGCTGACAAACACTGCTGATGCGAAAGATGACATTGCAATTTGGTAAGTTATTTATTATTGCCTACCGATCATAAGAGGCTCAAATCCGCATGGGTGAATGATGAACGATGTTGAATTGGCTGACTATGCTACTGGTGAGTGCGAACCTTACTAAATTATGTAATCTTATGGAATTGAAGTTCCGGTTATAGATAATCGATAATCTGCTTTACCCACGCCAATACACAACACAACCCTTTGTATCACTTATGGTGATTAGCCCCTGTTAAGCTGTCAATACTCCACATTGTAACATATCATAACACTTAGATGTCTCGCACAAATCACGCTGCTTGTATGGGATCATTGCCAATGAAAGGCCAAAGAGTTCTGGTAAGTGAAGCTTGTAATCAGCGACCAGTAACCTTCAGTACCTAACTATTTTATCAGACACAGGTTGACATGTGGTTCAATTTGGTAAGTCTGTCAGGACTTCTCTGATGGTGTACCTGAAATATCTAGTGTCCTGCTCAATCGGTCGCTGACCCACGCATGTGCTGTCTGGCCGAGACGATAAAGGCCACATTCATATGTGCCGTAAACAAGGCAAGAGCAGTGCTTCAGGTGAGTCACGCAAATTTCATTAGCACAATCATTATCACACATGCCCTTCTATCTAGCTATAATAACTCAATCTTGGGGATGATTGTCACGCCTTCGGCATTCAATGTGTAGCAGAACTTACCACATACCATATATCCCCATCACCACCAGATATCCAAGTGTAGATATAATCTTCATTTCCCACACCTTAGCACTACAACAATTGTATCATAATTTAGCATTGTATCATATCTCGGTCTCCGCACAAGATCACAATTGATCTGATTTCCATGTACTACATACATACTAGCCCACTGCCCCATATCACCTACTATATCCATCATGATCACTCCAACTACCTAACGTCTGCGTGGTCGCTAAATATATCCCCGGTTTTAGGGTTGTTCCTGGCGGAACTATTATGATCAGAATAGTGGCGCAAAATTTAATACTGACTATCATTGTGTGAATGTCAGGTAAATGTTGAACCATGGCCATGACCGTGACGGTATGTACTTCATTCAATCACGAGCTCTAAAGCTGTTTGTGTAGGCTGCGATACAAGACTCCTGCTGAACGAGTTGATTGATAGATGTCGGAGCTGCTTGATTGCAGTATTCTTATCTGGCCAACACAACTTGGATGGTACACCAAAATGGCATGGTCAATGTGAGTGGTTAATATTACAGGACGAACATGAAGTACTCACTCAATAATGTCATAGGGATTCTCTGCATCGTGACTATCACATTCATATGATGTAAATTGAATTACCTCAGTTGGTATCCTTTGTTAGTGACAATGTCTATCTAACTGCGGCATCAACAGGTCCGAAGTGCGTGAGGGTTGGATTGAGCTGGTTCATCCATCAGGAGCCATATATAACTACAATGCCCGAATGGTGAGTGCGGGCTGGTATTTGAAATCACACGCTAACTTTGTACTAACAAAGGCAACATACACCAAAATAAACTTTAGGACTTGTTCAGACGAATGGCTCCAGAGGCTTGAGTCTTGGATCAAAGCATCAAGAGCTAAGCTAAATGGGAGGGGCGATATTTGCTAGTCATGAAGCCAATCATAGTGAGAGAGAAGGAAGTATATCCATATTATTATGTTGTCCCAGAGAATCATATCATTACCTGGGTAGAGCCAGTGGATGGCTACCTTCTTTTCCAGGAATCTATGGCGTCGCACTGGAATCATAAAAGTATGTCGCTTTGTTGTGCATTGATTGATTCTTAGGCTTGATTGGACAGGACTCAAACTAGAGGTTCAATATTGGTGAGCGACTGACAAAGGATGTTATACTGACACAGAACATCCCTTACTGATTGAGTAGGAAACATATTGAATATTTTTCTCACGAAATCACAATACCCCTCTTGGAAGTAAGGGTGTTGCATACCCAACTGAATTGGTATTGTGTGGGTGAGTTATCTAGCATTGTAGAGCCCGATCAATATGATCTGAACAATCTACAGTGGCTTCAATATTCTGGACTCTGGGCCAGATGAAGGATATAACCGATGAGCTGACCATTGCTGGTACGTACCTTCATTTTCATCTTTCAACCTGCATTAATACTATCAAATTGATGACTGACACAGAGGAACTTGCGGAAACTGATGGGTCCTTGAAAGGACCAGGTGTTGCAATATGTGGTGCATGAGCTTTAGGGGAATTGGCAATCATAAAACTTATCTTTCACAAGGCAAAATATTGCATATGCTCCGTATGATGTCATTGTCTCATACTAGATGTCATTGAATTAAGCACTTAAATAGGTCATCATGAATACCTAAACCATCATGGCCAACCTGAAGCTCGTTTGATACGAAGTCACTCACTGGCCAAAATATGTAGAGACCTCGAAGATTCTCCCTTCATGGCTGGCGCTGCACTTGCCATGCTTTGGATCCCATTGATGATGCTCAGATGCCTTAAAATGTTTTACATTGATGGTCTCATAAATGTGGTGGACATTAGGAGCTTTACTGATGATTTCAGCACCCAGGCTAAAGCTCAAACTACTGTGGTAAGTGTTCTGTTGCGGACACAAATGAGAACATGCTTACCACAACTTTGTTTGCTCTAACAGGCAAGTGTCATCATGGCAGTCAATGCCAGCATCCTTGCTGTCCCAGGTTTGGGTGCACAATCCACTACAAAAACAATGTGCTCTATCTCCTTCGTTCTCAGTTTTTACTGTATTATCGGGTGCGCAATGGCACAACACTTTGGTCATGGATTGAAGTCCCTTGACTTTGTGGTTCGAACAATTTTATTCATTGTAATATGGGCCTGACGTCACCAACTTGACAACTGTATTATCTACAGGGAAAGATGGCCAGACTTGCAATCATTGCAAGTATACCAAGTTTTCTGTATCTGACGATGTAACGATGGTTGCAGTGCTGGGCTCGGAACCAGGCAATCCAACACCTACATCCCATACCATTCCCCGACCTCCCTTGACCTTCTGAAGGCCACACACACTTGTCTGAACCTTCCGCAGGCAGTTCTTGCATTCCGAGGCCCGTCCGAACCTCGTGAGTTACCATACCATGTCTTATCCTCGTCCTTTTGACTTCGCTGGTGCGTTTTCCCTTATTCTAACTATATGTTGACTACGTCTTAGTGCTACATGGATAAATTCTATCGGCATCCTGTCAGGAGCCTCGGAATACGTACAAACAGTACACATCATGGCTTATTACATGTATACTTGCATTGCTGCTTGCCTTGCAGCTTATGACATAGCTTTGGACTTGCTTATCTCGCTACTAGTTTTGCCTATGGATTCCGGTCTCTCACGGAAGTAGGATATAATCTCGCTCGCTGGCTACCGATACTGCACTTTACTTCCCGTACTTCGAGTCGTAATTAGTAGAGTCACCGTGGTATAATTGTAACTGCACAATCAATCTTTGTTCATTCGGAATGATTGTTTGGCTAGACCGCTGCCAATTCTGCACTTTGTTTATTCTTGAGTTCCAATAGATTAGCGTCATTCCGGACTTCAGACATTTCGCAAAGTCTTATATTGTTATTCAACACATCAACATACTGACACATCGACACACCAACATATATTGACCTTTGGACAGCTCTCACAAGCCTTGGAAGGCATTGCGCTACTTTGGACAACACTTTTGCGGCTTCGGACAACTTTCAGTCGCATCAGACAAGTACCTCGGTACTTCAGATAAACATTAGAGAGGTTTACTTCCAATATCTTGTCTACTCTCTGACTGTATAAGACTTCCCTTGCATTATCAAGATAGTTCTTTAGGTTGTCTCTTGGGACAAAGCATACTCGCATCTCTCAGGACTAGGGACTCACATTCTGTAGAGCCCAGCCCAGATCTACTCTTTACAACGAGGTAATCAAAACTTGGATGAAAATGTCTTACTACTCACTGGACCACTACAGTTTGGCGTTTTCTATCCTCAGATTTCTCGCAGGTGTATTCACGGTTGAATTTGTTATCTGCAAGGATTGGATGCATGCTGGCACTCATTGTTGGAGTGGGCCTTATAATTCCATTGATGATGGCTAGTTTCGGTCCTGGACTGATTCAATCATGAGGATGAGGAACGACTCCTGTATCGGAGCAACACATTAATGGCTAATGGAAGATGAATAATGCAGATTAGTCTTCTGCTTGTCTGTGGAGAGATTCTATTTGGTCCTTCACATCATTGTGTTTCATATTCATTATAAAAACTTTGTTGCTTCTCCCATGTGACAAGCGGATTACAGTTTTGTTCAAGGCAGGTAGTTGGGATATCCAGAAAAATTTATGATTAGCTGATGTTAATTCTGTATAGAGGGGATTCATCAACAGGAATCCGACATAGTCACGTGAGATGCTTTGAGTTAATATCTAGTACTATATCTAAGCACGCATAAACACCGGCATGTTGTCCACCACATCATGCTGTGTCATTCAATTCACTCTCTTTTTCACAGCTCTATCCGTTTTCTGCGATCTTTTCCGCATACACATTATCCATTGCCATGATTTCACAGTTGTCCTTTTCTTTTGGTCAACACAGCATTACAGTTTTTTCCACTCGGCTCAGTACCCTTGATATCTAGAAGAGTCCAATTTTTTTTCTCTCATTGTGCTCTTGTATACTAATATGTTAGAGGTTGTAACTTATTATATCCAAGTAATCTGTTCACCTGCAAGCCAATTGAAGGTACAGAATGTTATTGAATCAGCACAAGCTGTCTTTCCAGCATTTCCTCCTTCACCAATGTGAGCATGAGTAGTTTTCATCTGATCCTGTGACTCGCCAGTTGGTTGTGAACAAACTTCACCACTCCTACACCTGGAAGCAAATCAGTGATTCCTGGACAGGTCACTCTGACTGTATCAATGCCATCACTGTTAATCCTGCTGTCACTTTCTCCATGGACGGCAACTACATCCTCAGTGGAGGTGCTAATAAAATGATCTCAAAGTGGGCAGTAGTACCTGAGGGTATTTGTTCAAAGGTATGTTTCCGTCCTTGAACTCATATACCACAATTTGAACATATTTTGTGCAGATCCTAACCAGCACCACAGCTCGCAATGCATGCATAGATGGAAACTTGTCTACCGCCAAAAATATTAACACCGATGCGAACAGCCATACTTCATGTGTTTCTTAGTACTCATATATACCACAACTCGTGCATGTTTTGTCACTTGTGCAGATCCTAGCTATCACGTCAGTCTGTGAAGCATGCATTTATGGAGAATTTTCTACTGCTGAAGAACTACTCATGCAAGATATCAACACCTATCAAAACAACCATACTTACTACGCCCATCACTCGTTTGTTATGGTGCAGAAACATGACTGGAACCACACTCTTCAGGATGCAATTAAGGTGAGATTCACTGACACATCATGGCCCCTTATGAATGGCTAACTGTGACAAAGTCCATCAGCATTCAATCCTCGTTAACAGGCTATATCTCCAAGGGCATTGCCCTCTGCGGAAGTGATAGGCCATATTCGGAACACGAGGGTAGCATTTGATGTTGCATCAATGTACACAGAACAAGATTCGCAAACCATCTATTTCCTGCTTTTGATCAAAGTATGTTACATTTGCCTTACATACGCTCTGCTTCATCCCATATTTCAGGTCATCGTGCTCTTCAATGCAGATCAATACGACAAGGCAAACCTGCTCCTCAAAGAACTTACTACCGGATGTCTGAATGCTGATAACTCGTGCATATCATATCGTGGAGGTAACAATAATGTACCCTGCATCAACATTAATCTTTGCAACTTGCATATTAGGCATATCTATGCATTCAGCTCGGACTCAAAGCCTTGGACAGCACATGTCACGACGAAGCTGCTGAGCATTTCATTGCTGCTCTCAACTCCAGCGCTTTGCCATCGAAATCTGGTGTTCATGACATTTACAAGGATTTGATGGTGGTACGTTAGGATGATGTGTGTATAATGTTCTCAATAACTAAGTCCCTTGTCCAGCTCTTCGACTGGAATCTCAAATCATTGTGGCTCACCTCATGCCAGAAACGGTGTGATGCACTCCTTCAGGCAGATAAACTTCTAGATGCCATCAAATCATACCGATTCTTAATGGATGATATCGACAAAAAAGCAAAGGCCAGCTGCCTTGAATGGTCTAATGGCAAGTCTAGAGTTTTTAATGTTGAGCAGGCTGTGATCCTTACCACCATTTCACTCAGCTTTCACAAAAAATGCAGCGCGCTAGTTCTTACTAGGGGACACCAGGAAGGTATGTTTGCACATCTACCTTGCAATATCAAATTGATCTCTTTGACATATTTTATTTGTGCTATTGATCTACATGCAAAACTGATCACTTTTCATTTGCGCTCACGATCAGCCTCAGGCATGTCTTCGAGTTCTGGAGCGCATTACGCAAAGAAATTTGGATTCAAAAATCACAAACTGCCGATATACAATACTGGTCATCATACATTTGTCGTACATATATGAAAATATGGAAACATTGCCAAGAGATAAAAGAAACAAGAGAAGTCGTGCCTACATGTTACAAAAAAAATGAGCAGTCTTATCAAGTACATACCGATAAAAGGAAGATGTGTCCATAAGTCACAGGCAGTCCATGATCTGCCAAGTAGATACCAGTAAGAGAAATACAAAGATAAAAGAGATACATCAAGCCATTTACATGATGGCGAAGATAAGAGAAAGAGCTTGAGATAGATGGATGGGAGCTGCGGGTGTGGCCTTCAACTCCAAATTGTGAGACAGGAAGGAGGCTGTCATCTAGTAAATTATTATCTGTCAGTAATCTGTGTGTCATGCTTTGTCCAAGGCGGTGATAATGCATCATTGTTATAAGGATATCTCATGTGCTGACTGCATCTGATTGCAAATGGCCATCGCGAAGTCAAGCTCGTACAACAGGTGACAACCATTTTAAAGAGATGTGCGACTTCCTTAAGTGTTTATCTGCCAACTGTCACAGTTGCGAGACCTCATCAGAATTAAAGTTCTCTTGCAATGCATTGTTGTTTAACATCATGATGCTGATGTAGACTACAATACTTTGTCTTTGGATATAATCTGCGCATATTTGATTTGATTTTGACAAAAAATATCTATTAAAAACATCTCCAGCCCGTGATATTGTAACTCTTGACAATGTATCTCCCATAGACACATCAAAACTGTGAGCATCGACAATACTGCACAAATATTACAATAATACTGTAGTTGGCTGCATTTAATTGCAAACAGTCAACAGGAAGCCAAACACAGACAACGATGGACCACACTGTTGGAGAGATGCGAGACTTTCTTCAAGTATTTATCTATTTCTTGTATTATTTTGTCTTTGTATATAATCTGAGTATATTTGACTTGATTTTACCAAAATTATCTATTAAAACCATTGCCAGCCCGATTCCCTGATGACAATCATTTCCGTGCTGTGGCAACTTCCAGTGAGATTCTCAAGGCAAACCAGAAGAACTTCGCCTTACAATGCGCGCAATGTCAGACAAAATTGGAGAGACCTTTGAAATGCGCAAAGTGGTGGTCAAATATCTGAATACTGTCGCAGCCGTTCATCGAGTGTTGCAAACTGCTTTTAGTGTAAGAGCATCTGGTATTGCTCAAAAGAGGTAGGATCTCCGACTGCCATGAAATCGAAATCTGAAGGGCTGACGTACGTCGTGCGCCTTCTTGTGTACAGTGTCAAAAGAAAAATTGGTGAGTACTGCCCGTGCTTGATAAAATATCGAGTCCTCACTCGATGATAGGTCTACCCACAAACCGACATGTCACGAGGTTGAACGCTCCTCGGGAGTACTCAAATTCATACAAATGTTCAGTGCAAACCCGTTGCTCACGACGTCCCTCAAAGTTGGTATCGTTTTCGACTGTGGCCTGTTCGACAACCTCCGGATCGGATTCGATGTGCCATTCATGGCACGTGTCAACATCGCAGTGGAACCCAGCAACATTCTTGACTTTGCTGGATTGTATTTCGACGACAAGGCTATTGGAGAGAAGCTTCAAGGGATGTTGCAAGTCAATGCCATCACTCTGTGGCAGCCCAAGCAAGGTCCCCTTACGCTGAAGCGGCTACGGATATGGCGCGAGGCTCGTGCAAAGTTTAACACAGAAGGTTTTGCCAAAGGAGTCTGAGTTGCACATCCCCGCTGCTGTCCTCGTACCTATCTGATCGGAATCTCTTGTACAATACCTGAGCTGTCATTGACTGGATCATTTGTAACCAAACTGATTTTCCCTTGCAAACCTTAGATGTGGGATAAGAGAAGTATGGTTCACAAATCAATGTCTCGTGATTGTAAGAGATCAGATACCCAAAGCGGCCATTTCGTTGTACAAGCATGTTCTCTGAACATCTGGCATGTGACAATAAAGATGCTCAAGTAAATGTGTGTTCGAATGCTAATGAATACTCCAGACCCAAGGCACATCAATGATGATGTGTAAGTGCTAGGCCATTTTGCTAGCGGCGGGCTACCTTGAATTATGACTGCAAGCCAGGGTCTTTCTCCTGATCTGAAGGTGGTTCACATTTGATGTACAGATGGTACCGCGATACGTATATATGCATCGTGCATCTGTCGAAATCGAATTCATTAGAGACACTAGGAATCGACGAGTGGTTCCTTCGCGACTGCACGCTGCAGGAGCTCCTTGCACCCCTCAGGATGAAGTTCTACGGTCCTAAATGGACATCCCTGACAGATAATGAAAACGACAAGGACGACGCAGTGGTCATCTTTTCTCTTTCCCGGGTTACAAAAATCCCTGTGAATGACCTGTGCAACTTTCGCCCTGGGCCAAACCGTGCCTGGGAAAAGATGACCTGGGCTGCGAGCAGAAAGACAACCCGCATCGAGGATGTTGCCTACTCCCTCATTGGTATCTTTGACATCAGCATGACAATTGCATACGGAGAAGGAGATCGAGCATTCCAAAGATTCATGGCAGAACTGATTCAGAACTGCAAGGAATGGCAAATTCTTGTGTGGGCTGGCAGGCTTCCCGGTTGTCCAACGGAGCCTAGCTGTTACCGCACGACGAACGACACAGCGCTATATATGCTCAAGAATCGCCAAATCTCGTGGTGTACAGGTCAGACTTACTCATACTTCCTACCTCTGTTCGTACTTTGTTATTCGATCAACGTTGACTTGACTGTGACTGTGTGGTCCCCAATCTATGTGCGGAGGGCTACCATAATGCAGCGACCAAGCTCAGCATATGCAGCTCGTATTGTCTGTAAGCACAATAAACCTTTTGGTGAAAAAATATTGGGCAGTCTAAGACCAAATTATCAGTCAGCGACTACAAGGTCCATTTCGGGAGATCAAATTCCGATAATCAAAGGAATCAGGCGCCGGCAACACGGCGCACAAATTTGCGGGGTATATTCATACATTCGCGTCGTGCCGAGTGGAGGACAGGGACCGAGCAGCAAACATTTGTAATATCAGAAGATGTGGATGGAAGTCCGCAGGTATGGAGAATTACGAGCCATCACCGGAGGTTAAACAAATTTCAGTTGTGGCAGCAACAATGATGCCGTGTGAAGGACGCGTAACAGCCCCAGAAAGGAGAAGCAGTGGTCCATAGGGAGGTCCGAAAGTGAGGGCATGAGTTTCCGTCGAGGCAGGTGAGACACCAAGGCATGTTCGGAGCAAAGGTAGGCCGGAGATGTGACGACATACATCGTGTCGTTGATTGTAAGGATCAATTCATGATAGATAGGAGACCAAGAATTTGGTAAGCAATCAATCATAACACCATAATACACGGAATGGAAGTGTAACAAGATCGACAACGTACCTTCAGACGTTTGCAATGTGTACATGCTCCAGTTCTGCAGTGACATTCGTGAGAGCGCAAAGTCAGAAATCAATGAATGAGGTAGAAAATACGTAGCAGTAGTTAGTGGGTGAAGTATCGCGGAGCCGAAAAGATGGAACATGCAGAGCGCCGGACGGGAAGCAAGTCGATTAGGCAAGCAAAATCATCATCATTGTGGGTGCGTGTATTTTCATGAGGCACCAAGTGCGAGAAAGCAAGGCGACGAAGGCGTGTAGAACGTGGGTATAGTGTGTAGAACGTTCGCATGGAGTATAGAACGTGGATATAGCCGAGTCGCAGGACGGGGTTTGCCAAGCCGGTAGAATCAGAAATCAAGAAGCATGACAAAGAATTAGAGCAAGTGAAGACAGCCAGATGTCGAGTCGGCAGTGTAAGAGTGTCGGTAACAGATGTGCCCGAACCGGAAAGACAGCCGGAATCGGGAGTAGAACATCGGCAGAGATAACCGGTTCGGGTTGCATGTCAATTGAAGCAGGTTGTGTAAAAGTTTTAGCAGTAGGGTATCAGCAATCATCACAAATAAGCCAAACCAAACGTTGCGCCAAGTGAAATAAAAATGTGATAAAACGCAGTCGGAAGTTGGAATGGAGAAAAAAGATGAATATTTATCAATACAAAACATAGCCATCCGCACCAAAGGTGAGAACACCAATGAAAAAGGTATCAGAATGAGGAAGAACAAACAAATATGGAGGTGCACAAGTAAAAGCATGTCCGGCCAGCGCGCATTGCAGACGGGAATGAGAAGAAAAAGATATCGTCACAATCACAGACCAATAATGTTTGTGCAGTTTTGACGCAATTGACAGGTGTCAATATGCAGGTAACGCGACATCAGCTGAAATTGTGTGACAAAGAAAGACGATACCGCAATCAGAACCAGAACATAAGGATGGAGCGCAGCGAGCAAATTTCCATCCAGCATACAAGATCATGCGTGCCATCAAGGTCATACACAAGTCCAGGTTAGTGCGTTTGTTATGGCTGCAGCAACACCGTGCAATATTAATCGAGTTTGTTGATATGGGAGCCAGTGATTGACATAACCAGAGCGGTCGCCATCGAAGCCAGCAGTATCGAGCAGGTATGGTGTCAAACAGGGTTGTTGCGCCAACACAGATGAGTTTAGTTACCACGAGGTTCAAACACGATCCCGAAAAGCAGGCGAAGAAGCAGAAATGAAGAAAACGTACAAAACTTAATCAGCACACTATTCCCGGTCCAACAAGTGTACGATGTCACTCACTTGCGTTGACCCATCCCTGTAGCCGCGCCTTGTGGAGGCACAGATGGTCCAGCCCATTCCACCACATCGTCATCATCACTGTCATCGTCACTGTCCCCACCCCCACCCTCGCCACCTTGGGATGTCGATGGCCTTGGTCGTTTTGGAGCCCGAGCCCTTCGGTTTGTTGCGGGGCGAGGAGCGGGTGGTTTTGGTACGATTGGAGGCCGTGCAGGACCTGCCTGAGCCGTTGCAGTTGCTGGAGTTATCGGCACAATCGGGCGCTGGCGTATCTGCACACGCTGCTGCTGCTGTTGTTGTTGCTGTGGCGCTGCGACGATTGGGGGCGATCCAGGAGTGACAGTAGAGATCGACGAAGTTGCAGCATGTCCCATGCCATGTGAAGCCATGTGCACGTTACTCGAGCTCACAGACGATACTGGATGTCCCGAAGATGAATCGTCGAATGAGGAGGACGTAGGGTGGCTTGCGTACGAGGCCGGAGAGACGGAGTCGTGTGAGCGCGGGAGTCCAAGCAAGGGACCTGTCGAAGGTGGAGCAAGAAAAGATAAGCGTCAGTATGGAGCAATAGAAGAAACAGAATGTAGCAACAATATCGAGGTACAAAGATGATTTTCGGGAGCCAACTGTGCCGGAGAGCTAATTTGCCACGAGGTGGCTAACGTCGTCAGCGCAACCACATACAAGATGCATAGATCAATATAACTCGCACTTCATCCCATGTCGTACACAAACAAGAGGATAAGGCGAGTGTTAGGCAAGCGCCCATTATATCCTGAAGGGGCTGACAAAGTCCGACAACGTAACATAGCATAACCCCAAGTATTGAACCCACGTTGAAAGAACGTTCTCCGTTCCTTCGATTAGATATAACATGAGCTCTCAATGACAATTTGTCAAGAGCGTCGTGTATGAGCAGTACGCAGCCAATAAACATTGTATCACGTGTTCGGGCGCAAGAAGGCCGCGCCAAACTATGAGATGACTGGTTATCGAGAGAACTTTATCCGTTCCTCGATGTGAGATAACTGATAGACAGAGGCTTCTTAACAGCAAGGCGTGAAGAGCTCCGTCCACGTGCCTGAGTAGCGCGCAGCAAAATCTAGAAGGCGTTTGCGAATTTCCAGGTAGCGTATGAGGCCCAAACGTTGCAAAAAGCGAGTGTGGAGACGTTGAGTGTGCGTGCTGTGAATCAAATAGTGATCGCAAGTTGGGTGTGATCCAGGAAATTTATAAGGATGTTCCGTGTTAGGGGTCCCGCGGAAGAGAGCAGGGAGGGTAGCGTGAAATGATTGATCGTCAGCGTGATTCAAGATCGAAGATGAAAATAAGGAGCAGAGTATAACAGAAGCAGATAGCATCTCATACTGGCACACATAACAAACAGACCAGTGCCGCAGAATAAAAAAAGAAAATAGGGCACGAAATATTAAAAAAAGGGAATTTATCCCTATGTGGGCGCATATATGCACGTATGCGCCTGACACAGGACAAAGCGTAGGGATAGAAATGTCATGCCTGCCAGGGCGCTTAAATACAAAGCGTTAAAGATACCCACAAGAGTGGTCATGCTCTGCGTGTGCGAGTGCTGTCAATCAGTCAGTTTTTCAAAAGTTGATAACAAGTCGTGCATGATCGAGGAAGTGAGAACGTTGCGTGTCGGATGGTGTGAAGGAGTAGAAAAATGGGAGGATGGCATGAAATGATCATGATCAGTGCCATTCAAGACAAGATAAAAATGAGAGAAGCGTGAAGCGAACATGGGCGCATATATACACGCCCTCGTATGCCGTTGAACTGCAGAAAAAAAGGTAACGAGACACAAAGGCTGGTGCATCTATCTAGCCATGCTGTCCAACTGTGTCTGAAGAAAAAATGGAAGCGAACAAGACACGGAGCCCCGAAAAAGAACAATGCATAGGGGCAATAATATGTTTACGTACGCCACCATCCAAAAAATCCAAGACCAAAAGAAGCAGAAAGAGACTCACAAGACTGGGTGCACTCTGATTCCCTTGCGTATTGATCGTATAATACATATCGCTCTGAAGGTAATACGGATCTGACGGCCCCGAATAGTGTTGAGACTGTCGGGGTGGATTTGGAGGGGCATGAAGCTGAGGTTGAGATTGGGTATGGGACTGAACATGAGGGCGGGCATACGATTGGGATTGGGATGGGACGTGAGTGTGCGATTGCGTTGGAACGTGAGGGCGTGTGTGCGATTGCGATGAGACATGAGGATGATGGGGTTGCGAAAACTGACTCTGGGAAAACTGTGGGGTATGCGGGAACTGGGTTTGTTGGATCTGGAATTGGGACTGGGTAGGAGGGGGGTAGAAATGGGGCTGGGGCTGCTGAGCTGGGTGCTGCTGTTCGGCTTGTACTGGTGGGAATTGACCTGCGATTAATTCAGTTGTACGCTGTGCAGCAAGGGATTGGCCTGTTGGCTGTTGAGAGGGCTGAGGAGGTGTAGGTTGGGTTGACGGAGGATTTGGAGGTACGGAAGGAGGGACTTGTGAGTATTGGCCTGCATGTTGCTGGAAAGGGTAGTATAGTGGATGGGGCTTACATCCGGAGGAAGGGTTTGCGGAAAAGGATTGATCGACGTGAGCTGGTGTCCGGCGGTTTCGTTATGGATGGTTCAGCAAACGAGTTGCAGCACACGCATTGTATGGCTTTACTGCTTCAAATGAGGACGAGACGATGTCGACAAGGAAGTGAAAAAATAAACACATGGCTGCGCCTTATTTAACGCATACAACTCCCGTAGTAAGTGCTCGATAGTGTACCGCCACCCAATCACAACTCCCTCATCCTAATTTGTTTCCACGGAACCGGTCATCGATTACTAACCGGTCAGCCTCCTCCAATTCCACATGTGTCCCGGTCCTCAATCCACTCGAGAATCTGTGCAACAAAACATATTCCTTCAACTCGAATTCGCTCTTTGCCGTAGTATTATCACGTCCTTCCGCTCAAAGTTTGATCCGTCATGTCCAACCTCTCCCGAGATACATCCTCCTTTCGTCACTTTGCCTGCCAGCATCCTTAAATTTTCGTGAGTACCACATGGTTACTCCTTGTGCCTTACCAACCACTTCTTCTTTAGCACCGCTCCCTACTGTTTCGGGGGATCGTTCTCGTGTTCGCCGTCCATCCCCGCTCCTGGTGCGCTCATCTTAAATACTTGCATGGTTTCCCGTGCGTGCATCATAATCAGATCATACACTCTCCACATCCTCGTTCTCGCTTCATGTATATTCTGGTCTCGTGCGATCCTCGATTGACTGTGCCACTTCGCCACCAATGTCATACGCCGTCTTCGCGTCAATTCGGCATCATGACACTTGTTGCGCCGTGCTATCGTTAACATACGCGATCGTCTACGCC